TCTCTAGTGAGCCTACCAGCTCGGCCTTGGCCTTTCCCAGGACTGGTAACTGGCAACCCTCATGAATCCAGAGGGCTCAGGGAGCTGAGAGAGATGGTTAGGTGCTGTCTTAAAGGTTGCTTTTTCTGGTAGGGGAAAGGGGAGCTGGTATGGATGGAATGACAAGAATTAGTCTAAATAGAATCCCTGAAGGATAATGAGAAACCACAAGACCTGCCTCTTACCCGGACTGACACTAAGGTTAATGTGCCCAGGCAGGAGATAACTCACCAAGAAGCCCTTTATGATGTCTGTTCCTAATTGACACGAACAAACCAACAAACCAAGAAGACAATTTGCTAAAGATTCAGCATCCTCTTTTAAGAAACTGGCAATTTCCCAATTTAAAAAACAATGGGGGGAGGGGTGGGCAATATAACTAAGGTCAGAGGTAGGGGAGAGGACCAAAGTAGAGGGCAAAGTTGGGAGTGGGGCTTAAGGGAGTGACCAGGAGCAGGGAAGGGAAGGATGAAAGCAGATACAAGTACCTGTGTCTGAAGTTTTTGTAAAATCTTTTGTCCCTCTCCTCTGACATTCCTGAAAGATTACCAGCCCGAAATAGCCCAGGGCTCCCCCAAAAGAATTGTTCCAGATTGTAATTACCAGTTAGGCCATGTTTTTTAAACTTAGTAATGAAAAACTGTGAAAAGAGCAAAGTGTTACATTGAGCATGGGGTGGGATATGGGGATGGGGCAGTAAATAAGGAGTAAACGGAAAACCCCTCAAACCTATTGCCTGCCATGGAATTGATTCTGACTCACGGTGACCCTGTGCGTTACAGAGCAGAACTCCTTCACAGGGCTTTCTTGGGGGTGATCTTTCTGAAAACAGATGACCAGGACTTTCTTTCACCATGCCACTGGGTGGATTTGAAATGCCAACTTTTTATGTTAGCAGTTGAGTGGAAACCATTGTGCCCCCCAGGAACCTCAAACAAAGGAGACAAGGGTGGGATTCATCTTCCTGAAGAAAGCAGGAGAAAATACAACCAAATTTAAATACCCACTCCCAGATGGTAAAAAACATGAACTTTTCCCCCAGCCTGCACAAGTTTTCAAACATTGCCCATGTAGGAATTTGAGTTAATTCCCTTCTCATTTTTGACCACGAAAAGGTTGAAGCAAGGGAACTTGTATCAACCACTAAAAAAAAAAGCCAAAAAACAGAAATAAAACCTTTGTGTTTACCCTATGTAGTTTTGTAAAAGTATGTTGGTTTGGTTTGGAGAATGGCAAACTGTCAAAGGGTCGGAATGATAATGGACGTTAATATAAAATGCTAAGTAAAATAAAAACTTGGCCAGGAGAAATAATTTAAAATGCACATTTGTTTTAGATGCACTGTTGTTCTGTTAAGGCTGTATATATTTGTTTATTTAAGGTGACGGAAAGTGCAAAGAAAGAGTGGACAACATGCAATTCATCTTAATGTACAAAACGTTATATGCACTCAAATGTTAGAGTTTCTAATATTTTTAAAGTTTATATTCGAGTTGTACAAAGTTAAGCATTCATCAGATATTTCATTCTCTCATAATGTTATCATTTCCTTAAATATTATTACAAAATTTTAATTCTGTCTAATGGAGAGTTTTTGTTTTGTTTTGTTTTGTTTTTAACTGTCTACCTCACTATAATACAAGTATTTACAGCATTAAAGTTACCAGAGGTAAATTAATATTCAAAATCTTTTTTAACAGTAAATCTTTCCTGGATGATATTTGATCTAATACTATATTATTAAGCTCATCTCTCTCCTCCTTTAATAACTCAGCCTGGTTTATATAAATCTATCTAGAAAAAAATCATTTTCTCAATGAATTATTGATATGTTGTTCTAATATGGGACTGTATGTATGAAAAGGCACTGATTATTTTTAAATCTATCTTGTAGAGCATTACAATTGTTGTTGTTGTTGGTTTTTTTTGTGTGTGTGTGTGTGATTTTTCCATGAACTCTTCTTTTATGAAATTTTCATTCATCAGATGAAACCAAATCCTTGTCAGCCTGTGGAATAATGAATCTTTCAGTCCTGTTAGCATCACAAGAACCCAAATAGGAATTGTTGTATTTCTTAGTCTCTCTAATGTGGCAAAAAGAAAGCACTAAGATATCAAAGTCAACGAAGATATTGATAATTACTGTTTGCATTTCTAGAACACTGGAAGCAGAATATATATATATATATGATTTGTTAACTTGCTACAAATTAGATGTTGGAAGTGTCAGGCTGAAAACTCCCTACAGCATGATGTTGCTGTAGATGTGTTTTCTCTAGGAAATCCCTCAGAAACGTCCTATGGTTATAACTCTCAATTTACAAAGACCCTGAGGTGCAGAGAGTTTCAATAACCTGCCCATTGTTATTCAGTCAGAAAGTGCTAGTTAAGGATGTAAATTGAGGCCTGTTGGACTGTAAAGCTGGGGCGTTAACCACTATGTTGTTAAGTGTCTTTGATTTGGTTCTGACTCATAGTGACCCTATATAGGGTTTCTGAGGAGTAGCTGGTGGGCTTGAACAGCTGACCATGTGGTTAGCAGTTCAGTGCTTATCCTACAACACCACACCAGTTGACTATAACTCATGAGTTCAGAACGGAACAGAATCGTAATCTTTTGGAAGTAGATTACCAGCTTTTTCTTCTAAGGAGGCATTGGGTGAACTAATCCCTAATTATTTGTCCATAAAGGTCAGTGTGGGAAATTCGCAGTTAACCGTAATTATTGGGAGCAGCCAGTTGGTGAGGGAAGAACTGTTCCAGTCCCTAGCATTTCCTGCAGTTTTGGAATGTGTGAGCTGTGACCACATGGGGTACTCAAACCAAATGCAAGTTCACTGCCATTGAGTCAATTCCAACTCAAGAATCCAGTAGGACAGAGTTAATACTGTTCTATGCTCCTTGGAAACCCTGTACATGGTCGTTATGGGTCAGAACTGATTAGACGGCACTTAACAACAACAACATAAGGTTTCCAAGGCTGTAAATCTTCATGGAAGCAGATTGCTTCATCTTTCTTCCACAGAGTGATTACTGGAATTAAGTCACCAACCTTTCAGTTAGAAACCAATGCTTAAAACCTACTGCTCCACCTGGACCTCCTTGACCACTGTAGAAGGAAGGGGAATCTAAAACCTGCGTTACAAAACTCAGCGAACTTTTAGCAATAGTTTAGGTCATTGCTGGACTTCAGGAGGTTCTCTGATGTCTGTTTGGACTACCTTGGATATGATTTTTGTGAGGTTTTGTTAGAAAATTAACGCTCAATTTACAGACAGGTTATATTTCAAGAGACAGATTGTAAGCAAGTTATTTAGAACGTTTCTTCATAGAAAGTACTCATTTGACTTTCCACATCATTTTTCACAAACTTTACCCAAACGGAACTTTTTAACAAAGCAATCTTGACTTCTGGATTTGGGGAACAGACAATTACTAGAGGAAGTAAAAAAAGAGGTTCTTTCCTGAGTGGAGAATTTTTTTGAAATGCTTGAGAATTCTTTGAATTTTTCCACCATTCCGTCTATACTCCTCACCAATACCCCCAGCACCCTAACTGCCCTGAGGACCCCCAGCCCTGTATTTTAATGTTTCCAATCTAGGGATTTTCTTATTTTTCACAAATAGTTCCATTTCCAAAATTCTTCTCCTCTCTTTCTTCCATCAAAAAGTGATGTTTCTCTAATTCAGGCATTCAAAGAAACATAATCCCACTGAATATATAAAGATGCCGCTATCTCCTAGCTAGCTTAATTTTCCTTGATGCATTTCCGTTTTAAGGAGAAAATCTTGGTAAAGTCAGATTTCTTGTGAGTGATGTGAAAAATTCAGACAATATAGGGGAAGTTTTAATAGACAAGTTGCACATTTTTTGCGTTCTGTGTGAACTGGGCACTGCTGATAAAAGGACTAATGAAGACACTTGTGTTTTGGTGTGTGGCACTGTAGGATAAGCACTGGGCCACTAACTGCAAAGTCAAACCCACCAGCTGCTCCTGGGAAACCCTATAGATTTGCTATGACTCAGAACCAACTTGACGGCACTTAATAACAACAAGATGGTGTGTGCATACCTCACTAATGTGCTGCCCCCTCTTATATACCTATTACATAGAAGGAAATTGAGCCACGGGGGTGAGGTCAGTTACAGACCTACAGGGTGACCAAAGGCCATAATTTCAGGTTTCACCAGTCTTTATCTAACCAGTAAGCCTGGTCTTTTGTTAAAATTTTGAGTTTTGTTTCATATTTTCTCCCACTCTATCCAGGAATTTCTACTGTGATCCCTTTCAGAGTCATTGGTAGTGATACCTGGGCATCATCTAGTTCTTCTGGTCTCAGATGGTGG